ATGGATGGATCGTTGCCCTTGAGACGCTTGTTGCCCCAAATCTCGTGAGCTGCGACAAATGTTTTGTCAACCATTGACACCCTGAGTGGCAAATGTTTTACCTCTATAAAATAAGAAAGAAGGTTAGCATCTTTATCAGTAAAAGTAGGCCTTTCAAAATATTGCCAAGCATCTGCCCGACGGCAAATGCCTAATTCACAAACACCACTTTTTCTATTTTTGTATTAGTAAACAGCCCTTTTGAATGGAAGGTATATGCACGACTATCTACTGGTTATAAATAACTCCCCTCTTGTTGTCAATTCACTGAGCGTTGGCATGATTTATTAATTTTAGCCATCAGCTCCAGATGTTTTAATGTCTTCAAGGTCAGTGGATAGTCCGGGAGACGGCTACATTTAATTGCGCTCCGTTTAATAACCAAGGGTGACGAAAGTGTCACCTTTAAATTGAGATGGGGATATTAAATGCGGGATTGAACAAGGATATTCTTAACTCAGAACCGGTGTCTCTAGACAAAATTATGATTGAAGGTTGTACCAACATTGGCAACTGTATGATCCACCGAACAGTTCTGTTTTTTGGGTCCCAGCGGTTGTAAATTAATTTCTTCTTCCCTGTCTTGAAGACTGGGTCAAAAGGGTAACAAACGATTGAGACCAAACTGACAGCCTTCAGTTATTTTCCAGTGAAGTGGATGTAGATCATATGATTTTGACATTTTCTTACTGACTGGTTGATGTTCAGCCCCTTGGGTTAGGAATAGGTTGGAGTCATAGGTGTGAAAAGTGTATAAAATTTACCCTTTGACTTAGGATGAAAATATCTGATGATCGGTGTCCATTTTGTCAGTTTTTTGGCAATGGGTCGTTTCAGATTATGATGTCATCAGTTTAGTAACCGTATTTTGGTGGTAAAGTGTAGAGCGAGGAGGTAGAGGGTTTACACACGCATTTGTCCAATGTGTGACGGCCAATCTCTAAGTCACAGTCCGGTTTTTATTGTATTACAAACCGGACTCATCGCAAGTAATCAAATTAGGCGGCAATGCGGTTCTGCTAGCTGGGACAGGAAAATTTGCCACACTGAGCTACAAGCTCGAGCACATTATACATCGGCTTTCACTTTGGTGATAGTTCCTTCCGGGTTCGCGATTAGGGTCTCCCACGCAGCTCACTTTGGTAACGAAAGCTAACCACCAATTAGTCGGGTCCTCGTTTTTTCCTTAGCTACAAGTCAGTGTACTTCAAGCATGCGTTTATGGACAAAATGGGCGAATTTGCGTATCCTGTAACTCAGTCCATCTCTTCGATACATTAGAAAATTACATGGAAACTGGTCGTATAAATTAGCGCTGATGTGTAGCCCGATTAACGGAAGGTAAATGGGTGTAGTTAAATCAAATTGCTGGGAAGATCAACTCTATTGAATTAATCCATATCAAGGTTAATCAACTCTCAAGGTTGAGATTAACTGGGCTATCCAAGGAGTCTACCTGCCTAAAACTTAGTAATCTACTGAAATGCTTAAGGAAACCCCTTGTTGATACATTTCAGCCTCAGTAATAAGTCATGGTTTGACGGATTCCTGCCTCTCAGTCTTCATAATGGCAGTTCCAAGGCAAGTCATCGGAACAATGGGAATGTCAGCGCACTCAAAGTGCCAGCCACACCGAGTACCGGTCGCCATGCCTTTCGCAGCAGTATCGGAGGTAGTCAAAAGAAGGCAGTTGCCTCACCACCACCGCCGACGCCACCGCCTCCACCGATATCACCAACGAGGAATACTCCGCGGACTAGGACTCAACAACAGGCGCACCTCAATAGATTGGCTCTGTCTACGAGAAAAGCGATGGGAGCTAATAAGTCGGGCATTCCTCTCCCCATTACCGCAGTCATGCAGTCAAATGTGGGCAGCGTCTACAGTGGAGCGAGTCGGGATTATGGCTGTGGAGTGAATGCGCTGCCACCGGAGGAGACTAATCATGTGGCAATGGTAAAAGGAAGGCCATTTAACCGAGTAAAATCGGAGATAACACAGGCAAGTTATAAATAGTCACAAGATCCATTCAAATCTATTCGTTATTTGAGAATCTCGAAAAATTACAGAGAGCGTAAGATTTATTTGTCTTTCACTATACTCTTATTCCAAACATAACGGATACCTTATAGCCATTTACAACATTAAGAAGCTCTTTCAGCATCTGGAATGTTAAGCATTTGCGATCACCATTCCTGCAGATTGTGCGTCGATGGAGGGTCTCTCCACCATTCGATGTTTTGAAGGTGAGTCGGAGGTGGGTCGCGCTGACTCCACATGCATAGACCAACTGCTAAAATAGGCAAACGCATAAAGTTATTGCGCGTGTTTGTTCAAAAGAAACTTCATGTTCCTACAAATTTGTCATCCACCGGCTTTGCTCACGCCGCTTGGACAGGCGCACAACATGGGCGCTGGCTACCGCGGGAAATGATACCGCACACACACACACACACACACACACACACACACACACACACACACACACACACACACACACACACACACACACACACACACACACACACACACACACACACACACACACACACACACACACACACACACACACACACACAC